GAAAGTTGCCAACTGGAAAGTGTGGTCAGATATCGAGGAATGATTAATGGAATAACTAATAGGATCAGAAGTGGACAAAATGTTATCAATATATGTTGCAGAATCACCCCATATACGAGTAGGTTCGCTTATAATAGCACTAATGTTATGTTGCTTAAGTATATTAATGAAGTCAGTTGTATCATTACTAAACCTTAACATATCAGTGTTATCACACCTATTTAATGTTCCTTGAATTATTTTTCAAACACTCTATATTAAATAAAACAATTCAATAGGAAAATATAGTACTTTCTACACAAGGTTGTCTGTAGTATTGAAAAAAGATCTAGAGCCGGATCCCAAAGACAATCAGATGTTGAATACCGAGGCAGAAATCTATCAAACACTTTTCCATCACCAGTACGAAAATGCTGTCTGTCGATGGGCGTTTCGCTAATCAAGTGAGCACCATCAGTTTTAGTCATCTTCTAACGATGCTAACTTGATTACCACAATGCGCGTCGAAAGACAGCGCGAGACAGATCCAGAGGTTCCAAATTCCACCTGTTGAAACGTGGTAGGTATTAGTTATTTGATAGCCATGACAGAGAAGGGTGATCAGTGGTTCATGGCGAATCAGTTGTATACTTTCTGAATAGGTGAAATATTAGGACAATTCGTGAAAAATTGTTTTATCTATCAATAGATAAATAAAAATGTTTCGTGTAAGGTTTTCCCCATTATCCATCTGTGCAGTACATAACCATAATATAAAAAAAGTCTCACTGTAACTTCTGCGACTGCATCCAACAGGCTGGCTTGTGTTTCATGAAGTTTATTATTAGCAACAGCACAATTATTTTGCATTTCTTTAAGGTCTCTTGATAAAACTTCGTTTGCCACCTTCAGCATCTTGACTTCATTCAGTATCATTTTACTCTGAAACAAAAATATTTTTCATTACATAAAATAATTTTTTCAATCTCATTCAGATTCTCAAATCAATTTTGTTTTAGCTTTAAGTAAAAAAGGGTACACTTCTCTTATAATACAAGTTATTCCAATATTTGGATGAAAATTATTATCATCTTTAAAGAAAAGCTACAAAAAGTTATAGGATAATAGGATTTTTTTTAATTCACAAAAAGGTTAGAACTTCCTGTTGGAGAGGATGGCCGTGTCAAAAAAGATGTGAAATTTGTACAAATAATACATGTCAATATAANGTTGACCCGTTCCAAAAATAAAAAGGGGGGGACATTAAAGAAATGCAATGTATATCTAAGTGAATTTCATTACACTTCCCGAAAAGTTTGAATTTTTTTCGGAAAGTTCCCAAAAAGTGATAAACTTTTTCCTTGAGGGGAAAATAACTTTTTTCTATAGAAGTGAAAATTGTTGACAGAAAGTAAGATAAAGGACGATCTACAATTCTTTATCTAACTATCGGAACCTCCCCGAAAAAAGTAAGGATAGAATGGATCCTTGGCTAACACAAAGAATAAAAGCACAAAAAGCTATTGACTGCCTCGCCACACCAGAACGTCAGTCTGCTTCCACTAAAAGTCCGAAAGTGATCCTACCCATGCAATTTGCCGAGATCAGAGCCGGCTGAATGCGCTAACTGCGGCGGAGACCACCCCGCCAACTCCAGGGACTGTCCGGTCTACAGAGAGAAGGCGGAGAAGGTCGAAGTCAGGCAGACAGCCAGGCAAGCTGCCCCCAAGCAGGCAGCTGCGCCAGCACCGAAATTTGTTTTGGCACCGATCCCTAAGATCAATTATCGAGATCAAAGGAGAACCCAGCCAGCCCCAGACTCACCACCGCTGCCTACTCCACCACTAGTGCACGGAGAGCCAGCGAAGGGACCCACGATGGGACCCAATAGAGGCTTATTGAAGCAACTAATTGCTTCCGCAGGCTCAGCGAAATGGTCAGCTTGACCGAGGTCATTCGTGTAACAAATGATCCCTGTAACTTGATTACAGGTGCTTCTAGCCTGCTGGAAAAGTGGAACGCGTTTGCGCCGATCGCGAGCAGTACCAATCATTACAATTTCCAAATGCCAATAAAGCCATGTATGCTAAATTTTAATCGAATTAGCAACAAATACCCCAGTGATGTTTAGTCTAAATATTTAAAATAAGTGTATATGTGTTAAAAAAATAAGTCAAATCTTACATTAAATTAGAGTATTCACCAACTACATACAACAGGAGACGTTCAGGTCAGTGGTTGGACATAATTGAACCACCCAGGCACTTCCCGAAGGAAAAAAACCCACCAAAAAAGATCATAGTTACTGTATGGTGGTCAACCAGGCCAAACGATCACAGCAGAGTTCCAATGTGAGAAAATCGACAAAGCAGCAGCAACCGGCACTGGTCAACAGAAGAGTTCTGATCCTGTTCAACAACAACGTCCATTTGCACGTTTCACAAATCACCGTCCATCTGCCTCATCCATCATACTTCCCAGACCTCTCGCCAAGCGACCACCAGGCAAAAACGGCCTTTATTGACTCCATCGAATCCTGAGCACACAATTTCTATGCTGACTTGTGTTATGTTGGCAAAAGTGCACTGATTCACATGCCGCTTATTTCGATTGAATCGAAAATTTATTCATTAAGATATCAAACTTCAAAGTAGGCTCATAAAAACGGAAAAAACATTTGAAACATTGTTGCATTCTGAGGTCTGCGCTTCTTTCATTTTCGCCTTACTCACTTTTTATTAGTTTTATTTCAATGTATTGACATTTTACTTTACAATTTTATATTTTCTTTGTGGAAATGAAGTATCACATTATTATTGTCAACAACAATCAGAAAACTAAACAATCAATACCTTTTATTTTGAATATTCATGTATTTTCCAATAAAAGTCATTACCTGAAGATGCACGATATAAACAACATTATTCACAACCAAACCTCAAATTTATATCTCTTACGCAATACTAATGAGTTAATTCTGAAAAACCATTATCATCCGTATTCACATTAAATTTTTCAGTAATACGACAACTCACCTCTAATTTTTCGAATCGTTGTTCATTTACTTCCTGAATCATCTGCTTCAAAGACAAAATTAAATTATCCCTTTCGAGTATGATATGCTCCATCTCTATAACCCTATGTTTGTATGCTTCTAAAATTCCTACTTTTGCCTCTAGTTGTTGATTCATGGCTGAAACAGATAATCACAATCACCATATTTTATTCATCAACAAGGTTCATCAGTGTCTATTAATTGAAATCGAATACATTCTGCTAATAATTAAAAATAGCAATATAATGTGTATTTCATCAGTTCGTACTTCCATTGTCTTAATATAATATAAATTGATTTGAAAACCCTGAAAAAAATTAAAAAGACTAACCGAAAATAACAATTTTATTAAA